AAAAATTCACATTAAATGTTTTGTATTTTCATAAAAACGATTTGCAACATTTTTCTAAAACGGCAGTTTTGTAGAGAAAACATTTCTCTACAAGATGATACATAATAGTTAATTCTAAAGGTTTTTGGTTTCTTTAAAAAGCGTTTTTGATAGAAGGCGTATCGGTTAATAACCGCGGTTATAAGCGACCGTAGGTTTAAGAAAAACGCTTTCTAAAAGGAAACAAAAAATTTTAAAATTAACTATTATATATCATCTTGTAGAGAAATGTTTTCTCTACAAAACTGCCGTTTTAGAAAAATGTTACAAATCGTTTTTATTAAAATACAAAACATTTATTGTGAATTTTTGAAAAATACGAAAAAATAACCGATGCACTCCTACTCGAAAGGCTGATGAAAAGTAAACAGAGACCTAGTGGTATAGCATTGAGGATCTCCGGATCTGTCTTAGTGGACGAGAGGGAGAGATTGGCTAACTAACAAAGATAATCACTAAGGGTGATGGAATATGCACTTGACAGTGATGAAATGATTATTGATGCAGCAATATATTTTGTAATGTGAAAACAATAAAGTATAAATAAAAACTACCAACAAGAAATACAGAAGCACCAGCTATATCGACGAAAAAAAGAAGACAGTATATATAGCATAAAGTGTGTATATATACTACTGCACAAAACTGTCGAGATCCAATAACTAAATTGTGTATCTGGCAAAAGAAAAACACAAAAAGAAAAGAATTGCGTAACTGTGCAGTCCCGTACTAAATGTATGATCAATGAAAAATGAGAAAGAACGAAAACGAACAAAATCGAGTCTTTTCCCAAAAAACCTCATGTAGGGCTAGAAATCGAAGACATGAGAGCCCTGTCTTAACTACCCTTTCATTGTTAAAAGAAACATTCTCTCTTTTCTTTTCCACGAGAAAGAACATTTTTTCTTTTTCTTCTACAAATCACATTTGCATATGCAGTTTGCAATGCTGACTCAGAAAAAAAATGTTTCAAAGCTCCGAAATGCAATGAGAAAAAACTATCATCGTTCTTCTTGAAGGGCGAGTTTTCTCGATTTTAGCATTCTTTCCGTATTTTTCGTTTTCCATCATGAGGGAAAGGTCTGGGAATGTTTTAAAGGTGATTTTCGGATTCAGCTCGCTCTCCTCTATCCAAACGTATATAAATATTGAGAAAATAAAGTAGTGTCGTAAGTCTGAATTAGCGATCCCTTGCTCTTATACATGTGTGCAAAATGTACCGTCTGGAATATAAGTAAACTCTGTTATAATGAATAGAAGAATGAAAAACGTTCACTAAACATCGAGTCATTTATTTATACAATGTTGTTTTCATTTCTTTTTTTCATGATTAGACAAAACCATTATTTTTCAAAGTCAATTTATCTTATTTTCCAATGAGACTCATACTGTGCGTGACAGAGAAAAAAAGAGAAAAAAAAATTCAAATAAATTAAAGGAAAAACTTCTTGTTTTTCGATTAAGTAATCGGTGTTTCTCAACAAGAACTTCATCTTTGTCGATTTCGGTCGAAATCGGTGTTTCTTCACCGAAGCTTCTAGTGTTTTCCTGAAGAAATCGGTGTTTGTCCACAAAAACTTCTGGTTTTCTCCTGGAGAAATCAGTGTTTCTCCAAAAGCACTGCCGGTTTCCAGCTGAAGTATATCAGGCTTTCTCCTGAAGAGATCGGTGTTTCTCGACAAGAAGTTCATGGTTTTTCCTGAAGAAATCGATGTTTCTACACACGAACTTCAAGGATTTTCTTGAGGGTGAGGGTGAGGGTCGCCCACCCTCACCCTCACCACGAGAACTTGATTGTTTTCCTTTGGAGAAATCGGTGTTTCTCCACAAGGAGTTCAGGATTTTTCCGTCAGAAGTCGGTGTTCCTACACAGGAATTTCGAGTTTTTTCCAGAAGAAATCGATGTTTCTCCTCAACAACTTCTTGTTTTTCCCCGAAGAAATTGGTGTTCTTCACCGGAACTTCATGTTTTTTTCAGAAGAAATCGGTGTTTCTCTGTTCATATATTATCTGAACGTCATGTAGCAAAAAAAATGATGCTTATCGAATCGATATTCAACCATAAAGCGTTTAGATGTTCACGCATGTTCATAGATTTCGTGAAGACGTTAGTGATTATTGACGATTTGATAATTTTTTCACGCATTTTCGTCTATATTTTAAGAAAGTGAGGGTATTAATGAAGAATGGACTGAGACAGATCGAAAACGTAGACTATGAAAATTATCGAAAAAGATTATGTCATGATATCGATGATCGAAGAGAAAAGGTTTATTGCGATTAAATGTTACGATAACTTTTTCCTGCAATGTTTTTCGTCACAACATAAGACAATCCCTCAATGAATTAGGTTGGCTGTTTGTTTCATTTGTCTCGCCCTGTGACTTAATCACCAAGTCTTTGTCAATTGGAACAATCAATTAGGAGGTAATTCATGAAATTGAATATTATGACGTATTTTTTTAAAAGAAAAAAAGGACGACATTTCGAAATAACATCGGTGGGACAGCGAGTTACAGGAAAAAAACAGATAGTCCCTATGAGGATTGAACTTATGACCTCCACGTTATTAACAGAGATCATTCGTTAAGAATATGGGCTAGTATTTTATTCATCACGGTATACTTCGAAGTGTTATTACATCTTTAACGGACAATCTCCACGACGCTCTAGCCAGCTGAGCTAAGGGACCGTTGTAATTCGGTGCCAAAAATAATCAGTTTAACTGAAACTTGCGATAAAAGTAAGTTGATTCGAATTTTTTGCAAGATTGGCATCAAGAATCATTTCGAGAGAAAAATCAGTGATTTTTGCTGTGCGAATAAGAATACTAGAGAATATTGATTTGCTTTCAGTTGTAGTGACACACACTCTCTCATTTCTTGATTTCTGTTTGACAAGTTTTCATTCTCGAATTTGCATCCGTCGTGCAATTCGTCGCAATATTTTCAGTTATTTATACCAGCACTTTCATGATACAGGCGTATCTCGACGTCGTCCGTGTAGAATACTAATCCACTACCTCTCTTTTTCCGTTTCAATTCAATCTTATATTCGAAAAAGTGGGCGATCTTTGGTCTGGTTTTATGGCATTGTCATATTAAGCTTCATGTAGATCGCATTCTTCGAATTCATCATTTTTTTCCAGCTGTTTGTCTTCGGTTGACGTTGTCGGTGGCTCAAGTTTTTTCACGCTTAGCATCTTCTGAAGAGCAAACGAAAGTGAATTGATGAATACACCAGACCCTGGTTCGAAGCGGTATGGAAAAGTCATACCGAACCGGACCGGTCGGCAAAAGAAATTTCTATACCTGCGAAATACCGGTATAAAATCGATGAATACTACTAAAATATCAACCGGTACTTACAAATGTTGTACCGGTGAAATACCGATCCGTACCGCCTCAATCAATAATCACATTTCATGGATCACTTCAAATCTATATGTGAGAATCGCTTTAGAGAATATCATGCTAATATCGTCGCACATATGATGGTATCTTGGAAGATCTATTTCGGAAGTTCAGTCGAGACAAAACGATTTACATATCGTCACCTTGTTTGCTTTCAGTCTACTGGAATCTAAAAGTAGAATTCATTCGAAGCGGCGATTCCTCATATAAATAACTTATATTTCTCTCAAACTACAAATAACAGAAATTGTCTTATTTCAGTACATATGAACAGGTTCAAAGTTAGTTGAGAGAATGAAAATGAGTCTGACGAGACATATTTCGAAAGTGACAGAAAAAAATGCCATGCCAACAATAGTGCTATCTGCGTCGTTAGTATCGCGTATAGTGCTTCTTCTTTTATTTGTCTGTCAGTGGCCATAAAGAAACATCACATCATTATTCACGGTTTAAACCCAGTTTTATTTTTAGTTTATCGTTTTTGTATGCTTGCCGCTGTTCATCACCCACTTACATCTCTTTGCCAGATTGGATCTCCAGCTCATGATGAGACTGTCGAAGAAGGTAAGCTGAAGACAGATGAATTAGTTTGTTATTAAAAACTTTGACGAACTGCACAGAGATCGATATCGAAACTTTGGAATTGTCATCTCTACCCGAACACATTCAAACTCTTTTAACACCGAAATATCTTCTAGTCATAAGTAAAATCGAAATTAACAATTTCAAATTATTTGACGGTCGAATACAACTCGATCAATTCGACGAAGTTTGTCTTATTCTGTTTTTTCTTATCGTCACATCCGTAATTTCTTCTCTAGCATTTCACATGTATCGTTGGACCAAATAGCAGTAAATATGATGTTGATCTTGATCATAGCCGCTATCTCATTCTTCAAGCACGTTTCTTTCAATTCTTAATTGTTGAATTAGAATTTTCTATTAGGACGATGTGACATGATATGCAAACTGTTTACGACAATAAACGGAAAGATCTCGATTTGAAACGTTAGAAATTGATCGATATCGGACAACAATTATCTCAAACTCAACAGACACATACAGAAAAAGAACAATAATTGAAAGATCTTGATGTATAATATGCCCAGGTGGATAAACGACTTCAACAACATCAAGTTGAATTGAATAATATCAATTCACAGATGAAAACAGTCATAATCATAAGATCGAACATTGCAGACGGTGTCGATGCTAAATTGAAATTCTGCTCGAGTACCGTTGGCATTTGTCTTTGCGCTGCATACTTTCCGACCAACACTAATCTATGTGACGGATGAAATCGATGCTGTTCCCGATTTCAAAAATGTTTCTATTATCAGTCGATTTATCAAAGAACGTACCAAGAATGTAAGCAATTCATTACTGAAATGTGAACAGCTTCGTCCAGCACTGTTTGCCAACAAACTGAAAGACCTCAAGAGAGAACGTCTAATGTAAGCGATTCGAATTTCAAAAATTCCCTCCTTTCAGCTCTTCGCAATAATCAACAATCACAACAGTACAAATCTCACGACAACAATAATGTAACAATGACTGATCACAGTCACAATCAAATACAAACGGATTTTGAACTGCTTTTCTTACTGTTCTTGTATTGTACATTGTCTATCTCTCTCCGAACTCATGTGTATTGCCTTCTTATTTGTACCTTTTTGTGTCTTTCACAACTTGTGCAAATTTCCATTCATGATAGAAAAAATTCGAATAAAAATATACATTTCATTTTCTCAACTCAAACATCAAATGATTTGCTTGACAACGAAATACAGATGCACGTGTTCTTGATGACTCAACCATGAATCATTGCATATTTGAGTTTGTTTACTCTGATTGTTGCAGATGATTGATTAGTAATTGAAGAATATGACTGCTGCTGCGTCTAATAGCGATTTGAGACCACCGGTTGTTCAACCGAGTGATTTTGACATGCTCGATCTATCCGAAGATGACAAAGCTGCTGCTCACAAATATCTCAATGAGAATGGCATCAGGGGCATCGAGGACTTTCTTGCAGAACGATTGGAGGCGTGGAGGAAAACGTGATTGCAAAAATACTCACGTGACTATTTTGTTCGATATTATTCATTCTCTTAGTCCACTCAATTTTGCCATCACGGGTGGTTCAGGAGCAGTAAGTGTATCAGATATGACTGATTAGTTGTTGTATTTTTCAATAGGGCAAATGAACACTGATCAATACTCTACGAAACCTTCGAGCAGGTATGGTTTAACATATTTTTCTTGGCTGATGATGTTCAAATGATTGATGATGACAGAGGATGAAGGTGCAGCTAAAGTTGGTGTTGTCAAAACCACCCACGTCGTTCAACCGTATTCACATCCCACCTATCTGAATTTGGTTTTCTACGATTTGCCAAGTTGATTATCTAAATTTACATTTTTATTCACTCGTAATGCACAGGTGTTGGCACATTGGAATCCAAGAAATCCACCTATTTGACTCAGGTCAATTTTCATCCATACGATTCTTGTACGTCAATCTCCTCTTTAAATAAGAAAATATTCTTTCTTTTTTTCTATAGTCTTAATCATATCTCGTACACGTTTCACCGAAAATGATCTTTAGCTAGCAACAGAAATCAAAAAGAATGGAAAATGTTTTTTCTTCATTCGAACCAATATCGAACAAGATTTATATAATGAAAAAGTCAATCATCCATCGACATTCAATGAAACATTGGTATTACATAAAATTCGAGAAAATTGTCTCCAACATATTCGAACAGTCGACGATACTGCCAATGTTTTTCTTATCAGTGGTCCACTGAATTATACAACTCGGTAAAAAAACAAATTCAACATGCGATTAATTTTATTTTATTCGTGATTCAGATTTGATTTTCCGGCAATGTGTACGGCACTATTGTGTGATTATCCGGGCTTGAAACGACAAATATTGATTTTAGCCATGTCGACCAATTGCAAGGCAGTCATTCGAGCTAAAGTCAACGTTCTCCGTGGACAAACATGGGTTGCAGCAGCTGTTAGTGCTGCTGTAGCCGCTCCGCCGGTTTGAGTGTGATGTTCAATTTTTCATTGACAGTTGGTTGTGTTCTATTCTACAAGAAGCAATTGGGTTTACACAACAAACGATTTCTTTTCATTCGTTCAAATATCGATTCAGATTTATACAATGAATATGAAGATCATCCGAGTACATTTAATGAAGAGCAAATCTTGACAAAAATTCGAAACAATTGTCTTGAATATATTCGAACAGTTGATGAAAATGCTGAAGTCTTTCTCATTTCGGGACATTTACGTAATAATCAACTATATGATTTCGGAAAATTAACTGCAACTTTACTACGTCATTATCCATCATTAAAACGTGAATCGATGATTTTATCGATGTCGGTCATGTGCAAAGAAGTGCTCGTTGCCAAAGTAGCTGCATTGCATTATCGGATTTGGATTGCTGCTTCAGCATCCGCAGCCGAGCTGCCATACCTGTTCCGTTTTTTTCATTGGGTTTCGATCCCACAATAGTAATGGCTGAAGCTGAATTTTATAAGAAACAATTCGGTTTAGATCAAGCAGCACTCGAAAAACTCTCGCAAGGTTATCGAATATCGATGCAAACGATCGAACGAGAATTAAACGAAATATTTCCATTGCAACATTTAAACACAATTCGAGCATTTGTTATCGAATTTGCCAAAAGACAAGCCGTCGGTGCGACAGCTGAAGAATTTGCTCGATTTGTAGCTTATGTTGGCACAGCAGTAGCATCGACACTCTCGTTTGGTGTTTGTTATTTGGTTCTTTACAAGATTTTAACACGAATGCGACCAGCATCATTTGAAGTAATCGATATTGTAATCGATGCATCGAATCGAGCTATTCAAGAACAGCAACAGAGGCAGCAGCAATTACTGTGATTTATTTTCTTCTTTTTTGTATTTTGCAATTTTATTTCTTTTCCTTCGAAATGACTAATCACGAAAATGATTTACTTTTAGATTTAAATGCCCGTTGTTAAATACCGTCCACCCAATGCACCATATGATATTGCCGTGCTCGGTCGTTCGGGTGTGGGTTCACTTTGCAATTTAATTCGTGATCGATCTGCTGAACAAAGCGGTGACGCACCAGTTGGTTGCGTTCGTCATTGAAACAACACTCATACCGACCCCATACATTCTATCCGAAAATGTTTTTATTTGAGATGTACCCGGTGTATCAACTCCATCCATATCAAAAGAAGATTATTGTCGATTGATTGATATAAATCGTTGTGATATGTTTCTTATTCTTTCTCAAGGTCTTTTTACAGAAATCGATCTTTGACTTAGTGGTATTGTACGTGATCGTTTTAGTAAAACATTATTTTTTATACGTACCGGAATCGATGAAGAACTTCGTAATCATCGGTGGGATTATCCAACTGGTTTTGATCAAAATTGTCTGCTTAAATAATCCACGAAAATTGTTTAAAAAATCTCGAAACAACTTTAGCCACATCAAATAAGTCACTGTATTTAATTACAGCGAAAGATAAGACTAAATTTGATTGTCCAAAATTGATCGATGATATGATGGCATATATCAACGGCGAACGAGACAATCGCGTGTTAACGTTAATTAAAGATGATCCAGAACAACAACGCGTCGCATCACCTTCACTCAACCATGCCTTACAAACTGCACAAACAGTCGTCACGACATGGGCACGAATTGAGAACTTATTTTCAAGGATCGCGAAGCTTTTTGTTCACCTTCGGCAGCAATAATTTTGTTATGCACGAGAGGCTCGTGCAGCTAGGAAAAAATAATAAATTATCGGATTAGATAACAACATTTTTTCTAATAAAGCAAACCTTCGGCTTCGTCAGCCATAGTACGTTACATGCTCACAGGCAATCGAACATCCTTACTACAAATTAACAATCAGCAATCAAGAAAAACAGAATTTAAGAACTAACTCACAGCTGTACACTTTCGACTTTGACACCCCATGTATCTGTACCTTCATCAAGATGAACTTGCATCGAATGCGAGATATTTTCAAGATCGCTCAAAATTTCTTGCAATGTCTTTGTACCCCTAAAAAAATAACACAAAAAATTCTTTTCTGATATTTTCTTTTTCCAAAAACTTACAAAATATTTCGCAGGGTCGTTGCAGCCAGAAGTTGAGTTGAATAACGTGAATTTTCCACATTCGTCACACTTATTATCGGATTAAATATTCGAAAATACACCACTGCATCAGCCGATACAGTCTAAAAGTCAAGAATAATATCGAAAATCATTCAATTTCGGCATTACAAACCACTGAATCGCGTGTAAGAATCTCTTGAGGCACATCAAAAGTAACTAGAAGACAAACAACGATTTTTATCTTTTGTTTATAAGACACTTGAAACAAATCAGTTCGTAAATCGACTTTAATAATCGAATCGACACAAGATAAGACAAAAACAGACCGGGACCCTTGATACGCCTCGGGACGCTTGTCTTAGACATATTTAAAACATTATCCCTTATACAACCAACTCAGTGTCGGGCGTTCTCTTTCTCCATTGTATGTTATATGTCATTATTGTTGAATGTATGAGTGTTCTATGAATAGTATGTCAGAGTGGGCAACACGACTAAGTGAAGGAAAAGAAAAATGAACGGAAACGACAAATCACTCGCTGGTGTAATTATGCAGATATAGTCATGTTGTCACTTACTTTCCTTACCATAGCAATTTACGAGCTTCATTTCATCAGGATATACAACTCACAACTAGCGAAAGTAGAAAAAGCAAAGCTATTTCGTCCTTCGAACGATGACGATCTGTTGATAAGCCTTAGCTTTTAATAGAAATTATTTTCCGACTCAATGTGAACCTGTTTCCGTACATCTCTAGGTCTTTTTTTTAGAATGAAGCTCTAGTTTTAATAAAGAATGCTATCATCCAGTTTCAGTAAAACCTTCTGCATCACTTATCACCACTTGTATAACGTAATACAATAGCTCAATTAAGTGCATTTTGTGCTAAAGCAATATATTCTGAATTATTAATACTATGCATATGCAGTTTTAACATAACATACATTTCTCTACCATGTAAACTGAATAACTGTTGCCTTTAACTGCTTAAAATCGTCAACTATGTCATGCAATGTAAATGTCCTATAATTTTTTGCCTTCAGCGTCAGCGGTCGACAGGTTCTAATTCTCGCTTTGAGTTTTCTCTGAATTGAAATTTGCAGTTTATATATAGAGACGTTGCCATAGCTACCACTGAACATATTTCGTCAGGTTATACTCTTCATGTTTTTACTCGTTCTGAAAATAAATTTTTCGTTCATCAGAATGACCAGTGATCTACAGAAAAATTTATGTATTCAGACAAATTATACGAAAAAAAGAGTTATATATAGAAATGTGCTACATTTCTCTATGAAGATGAATGAACTGTATCATGCCCGTTTTCATTCAGCGTTTTAAAATATTCTTACAATAATATCAAGAATAAAACTATTCACTATCTCAAAAAATGAATATATTATTAATTCAAATAACTAATCGAATCAAACATCTATTTTTACCTTTCACGTTATCGATGTTCATAGCACTCTTTATTAAGTTCACTTTAAATGATACTCCTGCAACAGCCACAGTTTATTATTATGTAAATTGTACAATTATAGCAGGTACGTAATGCAATCGCTTACAAGCAGCTAAAAAATCAATATGTATGGACATCTTGTATTTTACCGCAAATACTGAGAGCGGTAGAAAGAAAATATATGCTCTGGTAAAGAAAGTGTATGCTCCGGTTTCTTTGGGGTCTGAATCGAGACTCAGTTGGATTCGTGAGAAAACCGACCACATCAGCCGGCGCCAAAATTTTAGTTTTGTTCTAGTTCGAAAGAGCTCATCGAAAAACTACGAAATCCAAGATATCTCGTCTTCGTATGGCACTGTTCGTGAATTAATGGTCTTAACTTTTTAGTCATCACCGGAAGCTCCATTTGTGGATGAAATCAATGTTCCTTTAATATCTCAGAAACAGCTTGATCCTTAAGGCCCAATCACATCTCTTATGAAAGAGAAATGTTTGCTCTACAAAATCACTGTAAAAACGGATACAGTGAAAGGCGACACCCTGGGTGTCCGCAAGGCAAAAACTGTAAAAACCGGTTATTTTTCTAACCTGCCAGTATTTTAGACCTAGAAATCGGTAATCCGGGTTGGCCAAAAGGCAAATTCTGTTATTTTGTGCCGTTGATAATTCTGCATCGACTGATATGTAAAAGAAAGTTTTAAATCACTAGGAGGATGTTTTCTTCAGAGCTACACGTTGGTGAAGTATTATGCATTTTTTGAGACGATTGTCAATAATTCCTCGATTCTTCGTTTTTCTTTCGTTCGCAATTCTTTTAACAAAAATATACAGTAACCTGTAATCTATCAAGAAACCTATTTTCAATGTCATTGAGAACTTTAAACGATCGGAAAGCATTTTTTCGTGAAACTTTTTAACTGCATATGGTTATGTATGCACTATGTGATGAAAGAGACGTGTGAGTTTATAGACGACTAAAACTCTCATAGGATTAGAATGTCAAATGTCT